CTGTTGCCTGACCTGATCAGCGAATCTTTCAAAGTACTTAAACTACTCTATTGAAGTTTAACTAATTTAACTTACAAATACAGTGACTCCCAGGACCTCATAAATATTCTATACTTTTATAAAATTATCTTACACCTTTCAACTAAAAATATCTAATTTTAAGTCAGTTATTCAACTGCATATTTTAATATGGAATCACAAGACTAGTCTGTTAGATCCTCAAATTTGACAAATTCTCTTAACTAAATACAATCATTTTCAATATAAATATACACAGATTATTCCTAACTGGCATGAGCACTTTATCATCTCTGTATTTAATTCTGAATTTTCACTTCACCTCCAAGGAACTGGTTTACATTTTTCAGTTACTACCCCAAACAAGTTAGATCTATTATCCTAGGAGACTAGAGTGGTTGGGACATGAAATCTTTGGCTGCCTATGTTCAGGACTTTTCCGAGTGTGCTAGAATGTTACATTGTTTACCAAATGTAAATTTTCTCAGTCTGAGGGGAAATCTTTTTAATAAGTTAAATTCATGGGGTGGTGGCAGTCTCTTATGGAGAAGTTCTAGCTCCTAACCCGACTCTCCTGCTCTCAGTTCTTCCCTCCTGAAAAATATTTTCGTCTTCTAACCCATGCCATGTGAATCTCTACTTATCTTTGGGTACTTCACCCTATGTTCAAAAAGATGTTCATCTTATTGCAGAATACATTCTTCTCCACTACCCAGTATGTTTTACCCAGGTCTGAGTAATTCTATCTAAAATAATGTTCTATTTACACTCATAATTCAGCAAATACTTATTGAGCTCCTACTTTGTGCCAGTTACTATTCTAGGCGCTGAGTAAGCCCCCAGGAGCCTTCAGAGGACATTCACCAATGGTTGATGATATCCTATGGGTCTAGAATGGTCTGGGGGAGCCAAAAGCTGGTGTTCATGTTTCTCGCTGTGGTCCAGGGAAGTTGGGGCCCATCAGCTTTGTCCCCTTCTGAGATCTTCCCACCACTGTGAAATGTTATTCCTCCAAGTATTCAGCAAGAAGTTGTTGGACTACCCTCCAGACCCTCCAAAGACAGACATGACTTCTAACACAGTATGGTTCAAACCCATAAAAGAAAAATGTTTTTCTCCCTTCCTCATTGTTGCATGGCCATCTCTCATGTAATGAAGTCAGTACTTCACAGTATTACAAAGAGCCATATTCCCTTTCTTTATCTCCATTTTCAAATTGTGCCCCTTTAAGAAGACGACACTCGTAGCCTACTGCTGAGTCCTACATCTCTCAGTGGCTGCTCTCCTGGCTAGAGGTTTAAAATGACTGCTCTTTGTAAAGAGTTGATTAAATTCTTAACCTAGGTCCTTATCTTATTCTCCTCCAGTTACAAGAATAAATGCAGGATGTTGTGTGGTAGTTGGATCTAGAGTCCAGACTAGATTCAGGTGCAATTATTTGGTAAGACTATTTGATAGGTGGTGCTATGGTCTGCCATTAGAAGGCATTTCGTGGCTGTTTATCTTTTGGGGATGTTAGCAGCCATTGATGATCAACCTAGATCATTAATTCATTAGAGGTTGCAAAATGGAAATATTTTAATCCTATCATTCTTTCTTAATTTATTAGGTGGACTATTTCTAAAGAGAAACTTCCCCTCATCTACTATTTGGTTACCTTGTAATATAGTTAATATGGGAATGGCATGATAAATACTGGTATCTGCTCTTTATTTACCAGTTTTCAAAATAATGCATTGGTTCCCTAGTATCCTTTAATGGTGACTAATTAGTTTATTTATTTTTTATTTTAGAGATGGGGTCTTGCTTTGTTGCCCAGGCTGGAGTGCAGCAGTGTGTTCATAGCTCACTGCAACCTCCAATTCCTGAGCTTGAGCAATCCTCCTGCCTCAGCCTCCCAAGTAGCTGGGACTATAGGTGTGTGCCACCATGCCTGGCCAACTGTTTGTATTTTAAACATAAAATTCACCTTCAATTCATAAGCAATTCAAAATCAGGATGATAGGATTTTAATTTCATCTCTTCTAGGTCAACATCTGAATTTCTTCTCTTTTATGCTGAGAATATTGCTTCCCAGCAACACTGGGAATGACAGAATGAGAATATCACACAATTACTCATTTGCATTATTCCACACTACAGTAAATGCTTTTTAAATGTTAGTTCTCTTTCATGCTCTACCTCCCTCCCCTTATAAAGGGCAAAGAATTCTTCCCCATAATTTTCCCTTCTGATATTTACAAGAACAGAGGCAGGCCTTTTCATCCTTAACTTCCTAAGGGGCCCATGGTTATAAGTCCTCAGTAATTTCTGGAAGAGGTCTGTATAGGGATGATCTTGGACACAAGCTGTGCAAGGAATCGTCCTGAGAGAGGGCAGTGCAGTTTGTCCTGGGCCCAGAAAACCAAGAGACCTTCTTCCTCGGCGGTGGCGAATGGTAGAGGTGGACAGGCAACAGGCAATTACAACCCATTATGGGACTGCAAAATGGCTGCTGGAACTTGCAGGGGCACTCGTGCCAACCTTGCTGCTGGTGTATTAGGGAAGGCTTCCAAGAGGAGGGGATGTCTAAGCAGCCCTTTGGGAGAGACTTCACTGACAGGCACAAGCCCAGGGGCCAGTTTGTGGAAGGGCACACAGCTGGGCTGAGGGGCTTGGGTGCTATCATTTGAGCCTTAGGGGTGACCTGGTCTGTGTTAGAACAGCCCACCTGGCACAGCCAAGAGGGAAGAAATGGTGGTGGTGGAAGGCTTCCCTCCTCTTGAAAGCCAAGAGTATACTTTCTAAGAACAATTATAACAACAATAATGATGATAATAGCTTGTGGCAATTCCTAAGTGAAAGATACTGTGCCCAGAACTTTACATAAATTATTTTATCCAACCACCACAACAAGCCTCCTAGTAAGCATCCCCTTTCTGCATCCAAGAAAGCAAGTTCAGAAAGGTCAAGTTGCATTGCTACTTAGCTGAAAGTCAAACATCCATTATGAAGCAGGGCAGGGATTCAAAGGCTTGCATTTTCTCATGCCAGAGCTTGAGCTCTTACCCTATTACCCTTCCTCCACTCCTTCACCTGGGTAATATTCTCCACAGGGGTCACCAAGAATTATATTCAGGAGTCAATTGAAGATGTATATCTGAGGGAGAAGCCATACGTCCCAAGAATCCACTTACTTGCTTCTTGGTTCAGGCAAACAGCCATCTGCACCATTTCTTCCCTCTTGGCTGTGCCAGGTGGACTGTTCTAACACTGACCAGGTCTCTCCCTTGTGCCCTGAGGCTCAAATGATATTTAATAGCACCTGAGCCCTTCAGCCCAGCTGCGTGCCCTCCACAAACTGGCCCTGGGGCCTGCACCTCTCAGCGAAGTCTCTCCTGAAGGGCTGCTGCACGCTGGCTTCACCTGCCTTGGTTTTTCTCGGATTCCACACAGATTTCTATAAAAGCATTAAAGTATTTATTGGTTTACACATCCTTCTCCCTCTTCCAGATTGTGAGCCTTGTAATGTCAGGGGCTGAGTCTTTATTTATCTCTGTATCCCCAGGGCCTAGCACAGGGATGGTACAGAATAGATAGATACCTAACAAATACTTACTAAACCTCTCCAAACCCCAGTTTCCTCCTAGGAGAAATGGAGGTAATGATATCCACCTCACAGGGCCCCCAGGAGGGTTAACTGAGATAATGTCTAAAACAGATTTAGCAGAGCACTAGATACATAGTAAGTACTTGATAAATAACATCATCTATGATTACCACTATTATGTTATACAACAATATCAGACATTCTATAGTGTTATTAATAAATAAGCGAATTAAAGAATTAGTAAGTGAACACATATATGATTAATGTAAATTGATTTAAATAGTGACTTTGGCCCACAGTAGGAGTGAACTTTAATATTCTTTGTCCCAGGGACTAGGAATGACTAAATGTGTCTCTATTTGTGGTATTGTTTTTTTGTTTTGTTGTTTCTGTTCTAGATTGAATCAGATGCAACTACGGGCTTTACCTATAAAGCTTCTCTCAGTTCTTGGACAAGGATTCATTCAGGCGAGCTGGCAGGTGAGAGGCTCAGGGTGAATACCTCCTTTTTCTTCATTGCTGTTGACTTCTTGGTGATCTCTGCCTCTCTGTGGATGAACCATAAAGACATAAACAGAAACATATTAAAAAACCAGTGTGATCAAGAGAAAGAAGAAGGGAATCCCTGTGATCATGTAAACAGCCTAGAAATCAACCACCCAGGTGGAGCAGTTAGAAGGCTGGAAATGAAATTGACAGGTGTAAAGTGAACGTACTGGGAGGAGATTTATACAACCAACAGAGAATTTGGAGATGAATTGTGATAAGTACATCTGAAAAATAAAACAACCAAGCAAGGAAACAGGCAAATAAAAATAAATAAATAAATAGACTTAGTTCCAGGGATAGCAAAAGTTTTGCAAGAAAAGAAAAATAACCATAGTACACTCCATGGCTCAGCTGGCGAAGTGTTGATGGTATCATGTTGGTTAATGATCCAACCAAAATTGCAATATAAAGCCACCAGGAGGATGGGAGATGGGAAGTGTGTGCATACGAGAGAGACAGCCCAGCCCTCCTCTTTCCCAGCGAGAGCTCAACAGGTAATGCCTGAGTAAAAGAGTAAATGCATGAATAAATGTGGCCCAAGCACACTCGGCCTAGGAAAAATGATAATAGGATCTTCCCCTATGGTAGAATAGTGATTTCTATTTCTCAGTCTTTGGCCACAATTTTCGTTTTTTGGAGACAGAGTCTCGCTTCAGCGCCCAGGCTAGAGTGCCCTTGCTGATTCTGGTCTTGAACGCCTGACCTCAAGCCATCCTCCTGCCTTGGCCTCCCCGAGTGCTAGGATAGGCAAGAGCCACCCACCCGGCCTTCTTTTTTTCATGTCGTCCCACCCCACCTGGTAGCAGAAACAGCACAGCTTCTGCGGGGGCTTCCTAGTTGCAGTTTACAGCATTCGTTGGAGCTTGGAAGTGAGAGGGGAGAAATGTTCAACTTCTGTTTCTCTTCTCTTTCCCTTTCTGACTTTTCCTTCCTGTGGGGAAACAAGAAGACATCAACAAAAAACAGTTCAAAAGTTCAGTATGATTCCTTTTTTTTTTTTTTTTGAGACAAAGTCTCACTCTTTTGCCCAGGCTAGAGTGCTGTGGCATCAGTCTAGCTCACAGCAACCTCAGACTCCTGGGCTCAAGCAATCCTTCTGCCTCAGTCTCCGGAGTAGCTGGGACTACAGGCATGCGGCGCCATGCCAGGCTAATTTTGTCTATAAATATTTTTAGTTGTCCAGCTAATTTCTTTCTCTTTTTTTAGTAGAGACGGGGTCTCGCTCTTGCTCAGGCTGGTTTCGAACTCCTGAGCTCAAACAATCCGCCTGCCTCGGCCTCCCAGAGTGCTAGGATTACAGGCGTGAGCCACCGCGCCCGGCCTCTAGTATGATTTCTTGAAAGGTTTTGCCAGTGAGCAGTGGTGCAGCCGGCGGTCATCCTCACATGCCCAGAAGATTGTGGGCGTGCTTCTGCCCCGAAAGCAAGTGGCCATGTAGGACAGAGTGCACCACACAGGCTTCCATGTCCCGCCAGCTCCACCCTCTGCAAGCACCCACAGGAGCACTGCCACGTGGGAGTTGTACCTGGGCTCGAAAACCTCTCGGCTGCAGGCAGTCACATCAAGGGGTGGAGGTGAATAGGGTGATCTTGCACCAGACTGTACCACCCCATTGAAGGTGACATCCCTCTGGTGTTACAGCGACCGATCCCAGAGGGAATAACCGAGCGGCACGCGGAGAGTTGGAGAGTCAGCGTTTATTCGCCAGTGGGTTCAGAGGGGACTCACCACCAAATTCTGAGCATCGCTTCCTCATTTTTGTCAGATTTTATACTTTTTTTTGGGTTACATACAACCAATAGCATGTAAGTACAAGCAGTTGACCAATCAGCAACAGGATTAAAAGATAACCAATTAGCAGTGATTATTGCAGGCTTTTGCTTTGCTATAGGCTTATACCTTTGCTTAGTTATTTTGTGGTTTAGCGCAGAATTTCCCAGAAGTTTCCCAACACCCTTTCTCAGAAGTTCCCCTAACATT